GCAATATAGGTATAGAGAAATATTGAATATTCTGGTTCTAAAAGATATTGAAGCGACTAACCCCTTTCAGAAGAGGGTGTGAATCTGGAAGTTCATAGCTGCAAAGTAGTAAGAAAAAGGAAGATAAAAAAGAATTACTACAGCTGCACGGATAGTTTGGATGGTTCCTTAGCAATTTCAGATAAGAAGAAAGTGAGAAGGTTTACATACACATTGTGTTCTGTCCGTAACCGACTAATATTCTTAAGTTTGGGCATAGGAATAGATGCAGCTTCAGCAGTTAAGGCAACTAAAGCTTTTGACACGTCACCTTCTTGAAGTTCCATATTTTCTTGCATATAATTCTGTAAATTCTGAGTAAACTCCTCCATGTTAAGCTTGATTGTGGGGATTTCATCAGGATCATCATAGAATGCATCCTCCATGTCATTTTCTAATGTTTGTATGTGCTCCGGTTCTGGTGTTGCTGGTTCTTCAATAATTGGTTCATAGTTACTGACTCCATGTTTTTCTTCTGCTTGTATATTTGCTTCTGAGTTTTGCTGTCCTTCTGATTGTTCAGTTACTTGGGGCAGAGGCAGGAACTTCTGATCAGTTGCCATGGTGAGGTTTTGATGAGGTATAGTGTTCTCGTCTCTGCTCACAATACTCTTCTCTTCTGGCCCCGGGAGCGAAAGCCTTGCACTGCATTTAGAACGATTAGATACTATATTTGACCAATTCAATTATGAGTTCCTGTACATTGAATGTTTTGTTTTTAGATTTTAATATGGCATTTCTGGCCTTCCCTATTGCCAATAACATTTAAAACATTGGTTAATATGGGAGCCTAATCTGTTTAGTTTTCATAGTTACAAGTGATTATCATTTTTTAACGATATGTACAAGTGATGTCGGACAATAGAATAATTTATGTATAAACCTAGCGAATTGTAGTTGAGAAAATATAAAAAAATTAGGAGAAAGACAAAAGAAATATGGGGCTTAAGTTGAAAAAGTGCAGGGAGATACGTTAACAGGTAGGCCAGAAAGAACAAGAACCGGAGAATAGAACACAGGAGAAAAACAAAGAATAAAATCTTAAGACATTCTTAATTCAAAGCTTATTTTACGTTCATATTAAAAACGCTTAAGGTGGTTCCTACTGTCTAGGTTAGTAGCTTTTATATATGAGCATTATTTACAACCTGAAAACAACAACAATGATAGAAGATGAAAGAAAAAGTTCTAAATCCCAATAGGACTCAATTTACCTAAAATCCTGAATGAGTTAAAAGATATAAATACTGATAATTACCAAAAGAACCCCAATACTGAAAGTAATTGCAAACTCCCTGGAAACTACATGCAAATAAATTCTAATAATTGAGGTGTACAATATGAGACCTTGCAAATGCACTGGCGAAGTGTCTGCATTCTCCTCTCATAGGACATGAGTTACAATTTGGTTTGCTTTTGGTACAGAAGACCTGCAGAAGTCTCAGAAAATTGTTTCTCTTACTTTTGCATTAAATTCATCAGGATAAAGAGTAAATTTCCCACAAAAAACAACATCACATACCTTTCCAAATGTAATCATCTGGTAATGAAGCTCATACCTGCCAGGAGATATGTAATAAATTAGTGAAATCCAGTACGAGAATAATTTGCTATGGGAGCTTGAATTCTACACATGAAATAAGTGCTAAGGGGAAATGGAATTGTTTTT